CTCTCTCTCTCTCTCTCTCTCTCTCTCTCTCTCTCTCTCTCTCTCTCTCTCTCTCTCTCTCTCTCTCTCTCTCTCTCTCTCTTGCGCGCTTGTGCGTTACATTACAGCTACCTCTCCTACGTCCTCAAGCAAGCGACGGCTGCCGAAGCTCGACCTTTGACCCTCAAGTCTTTTGCTCGACTCTGCGATCTGGTGCACAGATGTCTAATGTCGGTTCCCACCAGCTTCCCTCTTCCGTTCACGTGAGTAGCATCGGCATGGAAATGCGAGAAACCCGACAACGGCATTCTGATAAGTAGCGCTGTTTTTCTTATGAGAGGTGTGGACTAAACTTATCTAGCATTATAACTTATCTAGCATTATAACTTATAGCATTATAACTTATCTAGCATTATAACTTATAGCATTATAACCTATCTAGCATCTGCGCGTGGTTAGACGGGTCAACACAGGTGGTTCAGTCGCCTCGGTTTTCTCCTTTTAATCTCTTATTTTCAATTTAGCAATCTCGTGAATTTACGTTTTCATGTTGGCGCTAAGCTTGAGGTTTGTATGTACAGATACTGTGACGGCTGCTGTAGTGTACATCACTCGTTTTTATCGAAATTTATGAAAACCTAAAATGGCTACCGTAAGTTCAAACAATGCTAACAATTTATGTTATTATGGCGTCGACTTTTTTTGGCCCGTGTACTTAGAAACTAGCCCGGTGAGAAGTTAACAACCCCCTTGTTCAACACTACGACATATCACGTCAGCAGCTTTTGCGACAGTCGTCAAACGTCACTGTCCCTGTAACGCTGTGCTACAATGACAAGTGAATTTTCCTCTCGTTGTCTGGACAGTCCGTCCAGGTATTGGACAAACTACGGCTTTCACAACCAAGTCGTCGACTTGTTCATTCGTGGTCTTCCCGAACACCAGGTGGCAGCAGCGTACAGCAAGTTCATGGAGATGATGCCAAACAATGCAACGCTAGCCGTCAGGTACGCGCTCTAACATCATCTCACAGTCTACGTCTCCTCAAGGGCTTGGTCATTCATTAATAATTATAATTATGCTAGTAATAATAAATAGAAAATAAAGTATCAAATTATTATAATAAAAATACGTTATTTATAATAAAATTTAAATAATAAATAAATAGAAAATACATACACATATATATATATATATATATATATATATTACTATATAGCTTTATGATTTCGACCTCTAATTCGTCCTCTAACGTATTCGTGCGAGCCCCCTCGTCCGTGCGTGGGTGTGTAAAACCGGCTTCACAGCTGCTGGTGCTGCTGCACCGGCAGCTCTTCTCTTCCTCCCGCCATAGCAACAGGAAGCCACCCCCTGCGCACACACTCGAGCGAGCGTGGGGGATGTTTTGGCAGGAAGTCCGCTGCATTTTTGCGTGTGCGTTGGCGCGCGCGTAGTCACGCACGCACGCACGCACATGCACCGGTCGTTGTTGCTTCCTCTGTCTGCAGGTCTGTACAGCGAGCGATGGAGGAGAGAGCGAGAACTGCCACCCACCTGTGCAGTGCTGCGCTCGGCTCTAACCCAGCCTGTCTGAAGCTAGTGAAAGTGTACGTACGACCCTTCCCCCGTGCGCGCCCTAACGTTATCCCACACGACCTAACGTTACCTCCCTGACTCCTCTCTAACGTGATCACACACGACTCCCTGACTCCTCTCTAACGTGATCACACACGACCCCCTGACCTAACGTGACCTCCCTGACTCCTCTCTAACGTGATCACACACGACCCCCGCCCTAACGTGACCTCCCTGACTCCTCTCTAACGTGATCACACACGACTCCCTGACCTAACGTGACCTCCCTGACTCCTCTCTAACGTGATCACACACGACCCCCCGCCCTAACGTGACCTCCCTGACTCCTCTCTAACGTGATCACACACGACTCCCTGACCTAACGTGACCTCCCTGACTCCTCTCTAACGTGCTCACAGACGACTCCCTGACCTAACGTGACCTCCCTGACTCCTCTCTAACGTGATCACACACGACTCCCTGACCTAACGTGACCTCCCTGACTCCTCTCTAACGTGCTCAACCCCCCCCCCCGCCCAAACCTGCTTACACATGAATCCCCCTTATTAGCGTGGTCGCACATGCCCCCTCCCACCCCCACCCTAACATGATCTCACATGACCCTTCCCCCCTGCCCTAACTTAACCACATCTGACCACCCTTCTTCTCCCTGCCCAGCAGCTGCCGACAATGACACATCCTTCCCCCACTCACTAACATTGTTCCACACCGATCCTTTACGCGACCACAAGTTGGGATGGAAAATTTTTTTTATCGGTAATAACGTGAGAATCTTGTTATAGGAGAATAATAAACATTGATGTTCTGTCCGATAAACGTTTTGTTGCATTGTGAACTTCTAAAAGAATAACGAAATAAAGATTATCCCAGGGAGTGTATCGACAACACTCTTACCATGTCGATAAAATTGCTAGGGATATCAGTTGGGGTTCCTCTGCATTCGTAAGTGCGGGTAAAATTGTTGGCAAAGTCGCGTGATGCTGTACTCTTGTTTTTTCAGTGCCATCTACATTGCTCATAAGGAGGGAAACTGGCACGAGGTACTGTGGTTTAGCACTCCCTGTCTCTCATTTCATTTAAATGTAGAACTAGCCTAGCTTGTATGTTTACGTTCTGGTGTAGGCTATAATCTGTCTCTTGTTTCTTTATTCCCAATACACTTGGGGGGGTAAAGAGAAGAGGGAAGAAAATAAAGAAGGTTGGATATGGGAAGAGAGAAGGGAAAAGAGAGAGAGAGACAGAGCGAGAGTGGAGATATTGGGAGAGAGGGGGGAGCAAGTATTTTATGCAAAACAACATTAATCATCGTGACATGCTGTCTGACTCAACTCTGCATCTCTCTCTCTCGTTCTCTCGTTCTCTCCGCGTATACAGATGTGTGGTTTCTTTTTCGTTTCGTTTTTCGTTAGATGCACAAGCGTCTGTGGAGTGGACTTCATGCGCTGCCCTACGCTGCGACTCTCTGGAAAGACGTAATGACCCTGTTAACTCCACCGTGACTCCGCGCGTCGCGTCATGCCGCGCACCACGCACCGCCATGACGGTTCACGTATGCTAGTCGCGTCCGGTTACGAACAACGAATCGCGAATGAATATGAATGATGAAAAAACACAGGATTTGTACGCACGTCGAAGTAACGAAACCTGCGTCGGCGTCTCACGCCTCTACAGAACAGACGCCTGCCTGTAAAGGACGCGCAGTTTCCTTTGGTGACACAGTTTCTCAGGTGAAACCGCCTCCGTAGAGCGGTCACCTGCCTATAAAGGTCGCTTGGCATTTCGCTCGAGCGACCCGTTACGTACGGATCTCGCGGTTCTTGGGTTAATTTCACGTGCCGCAACCGTTGGTTACCATGCTTCCGCTCGAGACACACCCCTCTGCGCGCGTGCCCTCTTTATCGGGGTCGTCGCCGCTAACGACAGAGCTGTTCTGGCTTGGTGGCGCCACCGTGTGGGTCTGCGTAACGACGTTTGCATCTCTGTTTGTTGTCGGTCGACGGACAGCTGCTGCTGCTGGAGGCGGCACGGGGCGGCGGCGCGGGCGGGGCCGCGGGGGCGCTGAGACGCTGCGAGGCACGTGGGGTCGACGTCTCAACCTTCTGCAGGTCTGTCGGCATCGAACGGTGAGTGACGACGCGGGGGGGGGGGAGGGGGCGAGGCAAGAGCGGTGCGGGGGGAGGGGTGGAGCAGGGAGCATAGCAGAGGTGAGGCGGGCGGGAGAGGGGTGGGGCAGTGGGGTGGCGGCACAGGGCTGTTCAGTTTGTGGTGCTGATGTTTGCAATGGGTTAGGGTCGGGTCGTGTTGGGTTGAGTTGCAATGTATCGGGACATGTTAGGTCTGGTTTGGTTGTATTGTGTTGGGTTGTGTTTGGTTGTATTGTGTTGGGTTGTGTTTGGTTGTATTGTGTTGGGTTGTATTTGGTTGTATAGTGTTGGGCTGTATTTGGTTGTATTGTGTTGGGCTGTGTTTGGTTATGCATTGTTACATTGTTTGGCATTGGGTTAAGTTGAGTTTTTGTATGTTACATTGGATTGTGACGTGGCTGGGTTGGATAGTGTTGGGTTTGGTTCGGTTAGGGTTGTGTTACTAACTTGTGTTTTATTGTTTTGCATCGTGTTAGGACTGCCAGGTTTAGGACTGCCACTGTTGCATTGCATGATCTGGTTGGTTTGAGTTTCTTTGGGTTGGATTGGGTTCGCATGGCGTTGCGTGTCACAGTTGCGTTCAGAGTGTTTTGGGTTGGAACCAGAGAGAAGGCTGATGCTGTGCTTTTCAGGCGGTAGTCCTACCTACGACAACACGACGGACGAGGGCAATCGGAGCGAGTGTGCGGCAAGCAGGAAAGATCGCAGCATCTGGTGGGTGAAATAGTACACAGTAAGTATGCAGACTTGCTTAGGTACTTGCAACCATGTAGCTTCTCAGCCTTCACTAGAAAAAACACACGGCAACAGCCACAATGGTAGATTTCTGTTGACCTGATACAATCGCTGGAGTTTCGCATTTTATTTGACGAGCTGCTTATCAAAACGGAATTATTCGAATATTTTTTATTGTGTGATCGTGATTTTTTCTGTCACGTACAAAATGTTACCATCTTATTGATTTCTACTTTGAGTTTTGTTTTGAGTTTGGAAGAGTGGAAAACTATTCGATTTGGTGCTGCTCTCTTGTTTGTCTGTCTGCACATGTTTATGCACATCTGTCTTCAAGCCGCTTCCCTAGGCGTCTCCTACGGTGATTTTTTCTTGAAGTGATGTAGCATTGCATGCAACATGGAATGTTGAAATGTGTTTTAAATAGTGGGGGTCAGGACTTTTGAATTGTACTTCTTTTAATTTTGTTTTTTTCATGCTACGGTTGCATTTTGCCAATAGTACATGTGCTTTACACTGATACAAATGTAGTACCTGTCTGTAGAATTGACTAAAAATATAGACGTTGGGCAAAATCAAATGTGAAACCATTCATCTCTTAAGTAGGAAGCAGGAATTCCTCGGCGAAATGCAAGGTGGCCGTGATGAAAATTGTGGGAGGGGCCTAACTCCCGTGGGATTTGCCCACTACCCTTTTTGTTCACGATGTCGCTTACATGTCGTTGGCTGTCCGTGCGTCGCCGTCACGTTTTCTTGGCATGCTACTGTGAATTACATTCGTCGCGAGTCTGCGTGTGAGAGTGTTTGCGCGTGGCGACCAGGCAGGCTGCACTGGCGTAGGTGCAGTTGTGTGGTCTCCCTCTCGCTCCTGGAAGGTTGTGGTGTGTTCACGTGCGAGCGAAGTAGTGATAGGAAGATCACCCGAACGAAACGAACAACGTTGACGAATAAACAAAAGATCGACAAACGAACGTGCCGCGCACAGCGCACGTGCGCCTGCAAGATGGCGTCACGCTAGAAGCTGTTACTCGCCTCATCGAGACGGCGCTTCTGAAGACAATAGAGCATTCCGTGACTTGCCGAGTGGACCTCTGTGGCTCCGCCTGGTGGCGAACGCCGGGTGATGTGAATCGAAGAGTTGGACTCACCGATCGTATTGAGGATTGTAAGTTAACGTAGGCTAATCGATCGAGTATTCAAACCTCGTTTTTCGTTTCCGTCGTGCTTTGCGATGTCGCCGTATTGTGGACACCGGCCACCTCTGATGATCATGCTCTAGTTTTACTTGTGTCTCCTGCTACGATTGTATGCTTTTCCACACCGAAGCCCCGTTTGCACGGTAAAAGGTTACCCCGGGTAAACACACGAGTGCACGTTTTTTTTACTATGGTAGTGCAATGGTGTGGGTTGAACGATACTGGGGCACACACCCGGATTAAAACCTGGGTAACATTTGGAAGTGTAAACGCAATTTCGTCCACGTGTATGCCCGGATAGATAGATACCTGGGTAACCTTTCCATGCGTGATCTGGGGCTTAAGAGTATGCAGTTTGCAATATTTGATGTCGGGTTATTGGTTATATTTGGTCGCACATATCGCAAACACTCTGACGAGTGTGAAATCAAAATGCCTTTGAGACGACAATTTTGTCGAATTGCCATTACCGTAGGTTTTATAATGTCAAAATTATATATATATATATATGTATATGTATATCGCAGCTATAAGATATCTATACTTGCTCCATGGGCAGCTGGTATAGATCGTGATGGTGTGGAAGTGCGTGATGTTTATTATGTACATTGTCAATATCTTGTCTACGACTGTGCTTGTGTGGTAGCTGATTCATGGGTTGATAACATGATGATGTGTGGTGTGAGGGAGGGTAATAAATAATACACACTGCTGGCTGGTCCATCTGCTAAGGCTTCTACTTACTACTGCTCAGTACCGTGGTCAAAATTTTCAGGTTTCCAAAATCTTATATCAGTGTCGTGATCTGAATGATATAGATCACAGGTCGCAGTCATCATGTGAATAATCCGCCAGCTAGTACGACGGCAGTGACGTGGTGAGTGGGGGTTGTATTCGGACAGTGGTGGGAGTAGAAGCTACTTACTATTATCATCGTGAACGTGTCTATCTTCACACTGTATAAAGATATGTTCACGATGTTTACAATTAGTAGTCATCTTTTGCTTCCAACGTCCACATGTGTGACTGAAGCGTATCTCTGTGTAACAAGTCGGGAGTAAATAATAGAAAGGGCTATAATAACTTTATGGTAAATGTAAACATTGGCGTGTATTGGCATGTCGTAATCCGTTATTATTTACTCCTGGACGAGTGTTGTTGATTACTGGTTATTAAACTGCCATTAATCTCCTATCAGTTTTACAGGGGGTTGTAATTTCTACGCGTGTTTTTATATTACTTGTTTGTAATTATATGAAATTTTATGTACAATATATGAATATAGTAATCGTAACAATGGCTGTTGTCATTTTTTTTCGTTTTGTGTGTTTTACGCGGTATTAATGCGCGAATTCTACGATAAATACGATAATACGAAAGTTACGATAAGTTTCTGCTGCAATTAACCTCCACGTTCGATACGGAAATATTATGCGCAGAACCTACTTGAATGAAAAATGACAAGGACAAATGATTGCTACATTTTAATTGCAATGGTACTCACTGTGGGTAACCCAACACGCTCGATTTGATCACATTCGTTAATGTTACGAACGCTAAGATGGGCCATAAGATCAAAGGCCTTTTGCCACGTTATTGTTGCTCATAATTTTTGGTAAAGATTGCATATCTCTCAGGATACATTTCCGAACACAAGCCTAGGCCTCTATAGTTTGCTGCTCTCTACATACTCCCGGTGGACAGGCGCGGTAGTGGATATGCAGAATATATTTAGTGGTTAGTGGTGAAGGAGTCGACGTTGACGATGACCTAATAATGAATAGAAATTTAAAAAACATTTGCCTAATGCTTATTAGTAGCTAGTGTCATAGTAGTTATGGTATGATAAAGGAAAAAAATTAATTAAATAAGGTTAGAGTAACTTAAATACATTAAAAGGAAATAGCAGTATAACTTAACTTGTGATTATCTTATGTAGGTGGCGCTGACGACGTAAATCGCGCGCGAAACTTCAACACTGTTTTGCGATGTCGTATGCGGTTTTATGCTGTGCGTGAAGTTTATAATTCGCCGTAAAGTGGAATTCACTGGCAGCTTTGCTTTTATTCTTCCTTAGATTTACTTCGTAGATACAGCTAGTGTCTCACAGACAGCCATAGTGCAAGTAAGTTATTGTTTAAGCTGACAGTAAAATCACTAAATCAGTAATTAATGTCTAATCTCTACTCTAGCTTCACGATCGATCGACGGGTCGTCTGACTCTATGTCCGTAATATCGTATCCACACTCCACAGGAACTGCCACAGCCACAGGCACTGCCACTTGGAGCGTTTGGGTTTCAATAAAATATAGTGCTAAATAAATACGAAATCTATTTACTACTAAAGTCTTAATGTTTCTATACTCTCTTTCACCTATTATTGCCGACAATTTCCTGCAAATGCCGTCCAAATGCTCATCTGCAACAAACGCTGGCTGCCGCTGCACACTCACACTGTCACTGACACATAAATATATACTATAGCAGGTAGGAAAGCGTGCTGCCAAAATTCGCTCGACGCTCGCTTGATTTCACACGAATACAACACAACCATTCTACTCCTAGTACTCCATCTTTGTTTCTATTTGAAGGACAGTGTTCACTTGTTATAAAAACATACGGTTTGTGTTCGTAACCGAGCTGTGTCACGCGAAATCACGCAAAGCCGGACGAAATTCTCGCGTTCGTTACCGTTGCGCAGTTTATGTAAATGGCTGTCAGAATCAGGAAACACCCACTGGCGCTCTTCGTCACCTCATTTTTGCGCCGCAACGCTGCAACGTTCCACTGGCGGCTCGTACGGGAGTTGGAAAGCAGCGTGGTAGTTTTGCAAAATGCAGTGTGCCGCTAGCTATAGCCCTGTACTTGCAGCCATTTACATAAACTGCGCAGCGGGAGCGAACGCGAGGATTTCGTCAGGCTTTGTGTGATTTCACGTGACACAGCTCGGTTACTAACACAGACAGTATGTTTTTATAACAAGTGTACATTGTTCTTCAAATAGAAACAAAGATGGAGTAGAATGGTTGAATATTTGTGTTGTATTCGTGTGAAATCAAGCGAGCGTCGAGCAAATTTTGGCAGCACGCTTTCCTACCTGAGCTATTTATGTGTCAGTGTGCAGCGGCAGCCAGTGTTTGTTGCAGATGAGCATTTGCAGGAAATTGTTGGCAATAAGGTCAAAACAAAATATATGTGTGGTTACCGTTACATGCTGAAAAAATAGGGTAGGTAGGTAAGGAAAACATTTTATTTTCTTGAAATATTTTATTTACGAACCAAACCGAAGGATGTGCGTTGTGCCTTTTGAAGCAGGAACTGTCCAATTCATATTTTTATTATTTTTTATTTATATATTTTTTTATATTTTTTTTTGACTTTAAAGAAAATTGACAATAAAATGTTTAGGGTCGGGAAACCGTAACCACACCTATATTTTGTTTTGGCCTAATAGGTGAAAGAGTATAGAAACATTAAGACTTTGGTAGTAAATAAATTTCGTATTTATTTAGCATTATATTTTATTGAAACGCTCCCAATTGCCTGTGGTCGTATCGACTATCGCGTTTGATGGTCTAAAATTGAAAGTATTTTTTCTGAAAAGCCGTTTTTTAAATATTGCCTTTATGAATTGTTAGTGAGCGGATTGAAGCTAATAATTTGTAATTTTCAGCAGCTATAGCCTATAATAATACCAATCGATAAGTAGTACACATGCGTCTAGAGACTAATTAAACCATAGAAATAATATAGATAAGTTAACCATATTATTTTATTATGGTTATCTGTTATTTATCTATATTATTTATCTATTATTTATTATGATTATGGTTATCTATATTATTTTTATGGTCTAATCAGAGGAATTGCTCCGACCTGTGATTGGAGGATAAAAATAGACCCCGCCCACTCCCGCCGCATACGCTATTATGCTATGACCGGTAGGAACGTGTACTAACTATCATATGGAGCGAACGATTTGAGTTACATTTCTATAAATTCTAGCTGTTATAGACACATGTCTTAGCCTTAATCTCTGTGAATTTTTCAATGCTGTCTATTGAAGCACGATTAGTTTAATTAATTAGCAAATATGCACGCGCGGTATCGCTCATAGGCTAATACAAGCGCGGCTATGACCGGTGAAACGAAACGTCACGAATTCTATTTTTATCCTCCAATCACAGGTCGGAGCAATTCCTCTGTTTAGACGCATGTGGTAGTACTAGTGAGTAGTGTAATGAAACACTGATCTGATGGCAAGAAACCATCCCAACTCGTACAACTCGTACGTAACACTAACAGCTAGAGTAGAGTAGCCCCATAATATTCTGCGGTGTTTCATATTTATTTGTATCTATAGGTAGGCATTTAGTGTGCCTACTAGGGAGTATTAGTTGTGGTATCCATCGTAATAGCGTGAATAGGCGTAGCGTCTACACTGGTTTACTGATATAGATTAGATATAGATATGTCTGGGTTCTCCAAGCTTTTTCATTATAGCATGGGGGTGCTGCCTTTACGGTCCTAGTTGCAAATCGCCGAAGGCCGGCTATGGTATTTATGGCCTATATTATGGCCTAATTTAGCATGGCGGCTATGACATTTAGAGTGGCGGGGCTCGACGATAGCCTGGCGGGCCGCCAGGCTATAAGTGCTCTTGGAGAAGCCTGTATGTATGTTGTTAATAAACATAAACATGGGTATATAAACATTATATTGATATATCCTCAGTCATGGTAGACGTAGTCCTGTACTTGGCATTATAATTGTAGCCTTACTAGATCTACAACCATTTAACTGTAGTGTTCTCATGATCGAGCATTCAAGTAAATTTATTTTAAAACACTGCCATTATTAAAATGGATTTTTATCTAGATGCCACCTGTCTAAATGACGAGTCGCTAGGGGAACTTAGGAAGCGTACGCTTATATCAAATCTTATATTAAGTCTTTCTAGATACACAACTGATTAAATTTAATGTTCTTATAATCAAGCATCAAGGTCAATTAATTTTTAAGTAATTTTCTAAAACAATTTTGCTTGAATTATCCTCTACCTTTAGCCTCGACGAATCGCCGAAACACTCGAAGCTCGAATTCTCGCGAGGATGCGACAGCAGAGCGTGTCGTTGCAGCTGCGCTCGCGGCAGCAGCGCGGCAGCGGCGTCGCCGGCATCACCCACGCGCTCGTTGACGATTTCCGCTGCATCGTCGAAGACGTCCACCGCATCCTCGGCGACGAGTCGTTCGTTCCACCGTTCGCCTGTGAGTTCTCGAGCGCCGATCCCTCGATCCTCGCCGTCGCCGACGAAGACGGCGCTGTGCGGCTGTACGACACAGCGCGGCGAGGCGCGCGCGCCGCCGTCAACGACTGGTCGGCGCACTCGAACGCCGTCTTCGATCTCGCCTGGATGCCCGGCGAGCGGAAGCTGCTGTCTGCATCCGGCGACCAGACGGCCGTGCTGTGGGACGTGGCGAGCGAGAGCCGGGTCACCGTGCTGCGGGGTCACGCCAGCAGCGTGAAGTCGGTGGCCTTCGCGCGCGACGACGGGAACGTGGTCGCGACGGGCTCGCGCGACGGCAGCGTGATGCTGTGGGACCTGCGGACCAACGCGAGCGGCGCGCACCACCGCGCCGTCACGACGATCCCCGGCGCGCACGCGTGCAGGGACGCCGCCGCTCCCCCCGCCGTCGCCAAGCCGCGGCGGAGAGGCGCGGCGGACGCGTCAAACGCACCGAGCGTCACGTGCGTCGTCTTCCAGGACGACCGCACGCTCGTCAGCGCGGGGGCCGTCGACGGCGTCGTCAAAGCGTGGGACCTGCGGCGGAGCGGCGGCACGCGGGGGCTGTCGCCACGGCTCTCGCTGCCCTACGCCGGCGAGGCGGCGCGCACGCGCGGATTCTCGAACCTCACGTTCGACTCGACGCGCACGCGACTGTTCGCCAGCTGCATGGACAGCACGGTGTACGAGTACGACCTCGCGGGCGCCGCCGGTGGCGCACCTGTCGCGAGGTTCGCTCGCCACCTCAACTCGTCGTTCTACGTGAAGGCGGCGCTGAGTCCGGACGACTCGCTGCTGCTGACGGGGTCGAGCGACGATGACGCGTACGTGTACCGCGTCGCGCGGCCCCGCGAGCCGCCCTGCCGGCTGCGCGGACACGCCGGTGAGGTGACGAGCGTCGCCTGGTGTCCGACGGACTTCGCGAAGGTGGTGACGTGCGGCGACGACAATGCGATGATGCTGTGGAGGCTGCGGCGGCCGCGGGATGGCGACGATGACGAGGGTGAGACACACGCTCATCCTCTGAAGGATTCTTCACTTCTTTATTTTATCGATCGAAGTATTACGCGTGCGTGCTCGTATTCATCGTATACCAGACTTTCATCGCATGACCTACTTGGCAATAAACACCAATTGATAATCGAAATGATTATAATATGTAAAGCACTTCCTCATAGTCATAAATTAAGGCAGATTTTCTGCTACAGCATTATTCAAAGCTTAAATTTTTGCGAATTTATGCACTGAGTGTTAAGCGTGCGGCAGAAAGCGTGTGTCACAACGATCACGCCACACAAATCGTCATACGTTTCCATTATAATGCATGCAGCATATGTAGTTATCACTATGAGTATCATCACGTTGTACCAATACTTTGTTCACAGACGAGATCGTGGGACGCGCGGAACGGATGCCAGAGACGCCCGACGCGGCAACGGAACACGCTCCCGACGTGCCGAGGCAGGCCGCACGGTTGCCGACGGTTACAGCGGAGACCTCCCCGCCGCGGGATAGCTCCAGTCGCGCTGCGTTTCCGGCGAGCTTTGGGAAGCAGCTGCTTCTCACCTCCCTCGTCGCACCACAGCGTCGCGCATCCACACAGGGAGGCGGCGGCGGTACGAAGAGGAAGCTGTCGCTAGCCAACGCCGAGAATCGACCCCTGAAAGTGAGGAGGTCGTCTGCCGATACGTCGCCACAGGCAACGGAGCGCGAAGCGGAGACGCCGCCGAGAAGTCTGGTGAAGAACAACGGATCGAACAGTCTATTGAACAATGATAGACTGAACAATCTGCCAAACAACAATGGATTGAACATTCAATTGAAGAACAATAGACTGAATAGTTCACTGAAGAACAATGGTCTAATCATTCCACTGAAGAACAATGGACAGCACAGTCCATCGAAAAACAATGGAGTGAACAGTTTCTCGAAAAACAATGGCATGAACAGTCCATCGAAAAACAATGGACTGAACAGTCGACTAAAGAACAATGGTTTAAATATTCCACTGAAGAACAATGGCGTGAACAGTCCGCTGAAAGAAAACGGAACGAACAGTCCGCACGATACTTTGACCACCCCCGCGAACCCCCGCGCGACGGCGTTGAGAGTTTTGGAATTCGCCGACGGAGCCGCGCTCCAGTCGCCGACGGCCAATCTTCCCAACCTGGTGGTGGACGGCCAGCCGCCGGTCAAGCTCTGCCGTGCTGTGCAGGCCGTCCCACGGAAGCCCGCCGCCAACAACTGGTTGACGCGGCTCGGCGGTCGGGCCGAGGCGGCCGGACGCGGCGGCGTGGCGATGAGACGGAAGAGAGTAGCCGGTGCGGCGCGCGGGGCCGTCGCGAGATCTTCGGGCGATCCCGGCGGCGGAGTGGCGCCCCCTGGGGACCGGGAGGTTGTCAGTGGGTCGCCGTCGTCGAGGGGTGGGTCTGGTCGCTCTCTGCTGTCGTATTTCTCGAAGACTTCAAAGTGACGTGTTTTCGTCGACGTAGAGAGCTGTGGAGGTAGCAGCTTGCAGTATGATGAACAGTAACATCGCTGGAACGAATTCTCAGGGGCGTGTACAGGGGGAGGGGGGTCCAGGGGGTCCGGACCTCCCCCCCCTGCTCGCACAGAAAACGCATCTAAGGGGGTCTAATTTCAAAAATTTCCCAGACTCCACTCCCCCTTCGCGTGCTCGCAAGTTTGGGTTACGGTTAGACCCCCCCCCCCCTGGTATAAATCCTTTACACGCCCCTGATTCTCTCGATTCATGTAGTAGCCATGGCAACTGTTGTGTAACCATGGAAACTGTTGTGTAGCCGTGAAGACTGTTCCAGTGTTCCTGATATTAATATTTGAAGTTTCTCGCTTTTTCCGATGTTATTCGGGATCTCGTTAATATTATGTTATTCATCGGGGTATTTAGTGACCTGTAAATAATGCTTTCTATTTCGGATTGTGATTATGATTTTGTTTTTCTTACATTTATTAGGGATCAGTGAATCCTACCACATTGCTACCACGTACATAGGCGTTATGATTATGTAGAAAATATTTTTAGAGATTGTTTATCTTATATTTTACTAATAAACAACTTCACGTGGTAATACACAATAATATAGGTAATGTCGTAGTATTTTTACTCCTGCTTGTAAGAAAGCAAGCACGCACACACACGTGAACGCTTAATCCTGATTTCCTGGAATAGAAAAATAGGAAATCGTAATATGTTTACATTTTTATTTTAATCTCATGGCAAGTGGAGGCTATACATCCAAACTAAGCTCCAGCTATGTGATGTCACCCCGACTCCCTGACATAATCTTTTTTTTATCTTGACACAGTCTCTGACCCATATATGTGTGCTATTGCGCGGACGCGTGTGTGCGTGCGTGCGTGCGTGCGTGCGTGCGTGCGTGCGTGCGTGGGCATGGAACGAGGTGCGAGTGTACACAGGTCGTGTGAACATTGTGCAATTTTCTTAGTTGTGATATCAGGATATGGTGAGGTGGTATATTTCCCCGGTACCTGGAGGGGTGATATCTACAGGTCAGGATGTTCCTGCAGGAAGAGAAGAGTGCATTCACAGATTTTACGAGTTAACAAGGTGCATGTGGCCTCCCCATGCTCTATCTCTCTATACAAATATACATATATGCTCGCGCGCACGGGAAAGGTGTGTGGAACGTTACGTTAATGTGATCATTACTTGGGATAGTCGTCGACTTAAATGAAAAATAAAATATCGTCCGTTATTATGACAACGATTTTGGAAGACTGACCAGACGCAAGAATGAAAATAAGAATAACTGGCGGTCGATTTGTGATTCTGTTCGTTCTGTGCGCGAAACTGCTAGCAGTGCACGGTAAGTGTTATCAGGCGTGAATAAAAAATAACATTTTGTTTATTTAGTTATATCAGTGTATTGATTCTTGAACCGTTGTAAATCGTTACACACGTATGTTGTATTTTCTTACGTTAATGTACCGCTCGCATTATCATATCTACTTTAATGAGTTTAATTAACCGACTTAATTATTATTTGTGGAATAAATATATTATTATAGTATAGCTACATGTGCAATTAAAACTAATAAACTTTTAACAATTTAAGTTAAGATCGTTAAGAATCGATAAGTTAGCATATGAGCTTTCGTTAATATATAACAATACGGTATCGCTAACAAAGGTTTATAGAAAAAAACGGGAACCGCATACTATTATTTTACGGAGACTTCGTAATTCTAATCAGTTTGTAATCTTGATAGAGATATGATTGCATCTCGCAATCGTGTTTAACTGAATTTTAAATTTAATTAACAGCAGTAATGTTAATTAATTGTTAATTATTTAACTGTTGTCTTTAACATTTAGTTATTTAATCTTACTTAATCGTTCATGTTATTTGATTGCTAATATTAATAAGTCGTTGGACTAATGAAATTTATTAAATTCTTAATCCTGACCGTTTTCAATACCACCGTATTTATTCTCAATATATATTCGTTAATTTAATCTCAATCAGTCGTAATTAATCCTCCAGCATGGCTGACGATTCTGAATGGCTTCCCCGAGCTACCGGAGGTCAACCAGGGGTCAATGACCATCATCGTCTGTCATTCCCTCACGAACACCTACAGACGGCTGAAGATAGGGCGTCTGCATGATACGGGCGCCGGCGCTGCCATGCCGACGGGCGCCATTACGTTCAGGTGAGAACGATGCCGTAACGCGGGTGTGAACAGGTGAGAAATATGCCGTAACGTGGTCGTGCACAGGTGAAAACTATGCCGTAACGTGGTCGTGCACAGGTGAATAACTATGGCGCGTAACGCGGGCGGTGCACAGGTGGGAAATTATGGCGTAACGCGGGTTTGCACAGTGATAACTAGCCGAAACGCGGCGTGCACAGGTGAGAACTATACTGTAACCGAGGCCATAGCTAACATATTTTGGCCGGGTGTGTTTGTGTGTGGGGGGGGAGAGGTAAAGCCATTGCGTTTATAGGAGATTGACCATGAGAAGTTCGCCAATTGCTATTGCTATTGCCCATGTATCAGCAACGATATTGACCATTTACATATTATGTACAGGCGTCGGTATATACAAGTGACCGCTAATACAGGGTTCACCGTATTTCCCACCTTTCCAGACGCATTAAGCCCGTGGTGGAGACGCAGCTGATGATAACGCCAAATGCGTCCTTCCTAGACAGCTAGGTGTCCGCTATATGCAGGTGACCGCGCTCACGCAGGTTTCTCCGTGTTGCAGGCGCGCGAAGCCCGTCGTGGGAAACAGGTGATGATGCTGAGTAAAGGAGGAGCGGCGCGATTCGGTGCTTACTATTGAGGGAGCGACTCCGTAACGGCAGAGTAAGACTGTCGTCACCCTCAAGTTACCTTCCCGAGAATAGGTACGTAGGCCTACGTACGTAGATGCGGGAACCCATCTATGTACATATGGCAAGGTTCGTGGGTCTTTTATTCGTATCTATTCGTGTATAGACTACTTCTGTAAGCGTATGGTGTACTTCTGTGTGGCGGAACTATTGCGTTACGGTTCGTTTATGTGTATTTGGAAGTTGCACTCACCGAGGGTGTGCGCGTGTACCTAGTATTATGTGCTACCCAAAGATTGCTTTGTGATGTAATATATTATTCACTGTTAATCACGGTCGGCGGTGAACAAGTTCATGACACCATATTAGCTTTTAGATAAACATATCTAGTTTATTCTATCTATTTCAATCCTATATCATGTGTGCAGATATGTATATATAAATATATACATTGTATATTATTTGTATACTTTAGCCAGTCGTAAAAAAGGCGTCGTTGATTGGCTTTAATACATTAAAATAACATTTTGCTCGATATAGAGGAATATATAGGGCCGTACACCCACGAAGAAGACGATGCCGACGGCAGTAGAAATCGAACTAGCTTAAATAGTTTAATCTACTCAAATCTAATTGTGATCTTAAGTGATTTCCTGTACTCCTTGAGTACAGTAAATTTTCAAAAGAAGTGCCACGCTGAAAAGGTGAATGTATAGTCATATATGTTAGTATGAAGGTCAGAAAATACACGAATTTCCACAATAATTACGCGAGGAAATCGGCCGCATTTGTTTCATTTATTCCTATTTAGTAGAATAAATAATTTCATGCCCATTTATTAAGGATCGATACACGGATATTTGTACAACATCGGAAAGTTGAGTTTCCTCGGTTGTAGAAATCTTGATGATACTCGCAAACGTGGGCAACAATAATTATTGTATGTGGGCCACAAACTTATAAATAGGCTGCTGAATATCTTACTGCAACAGTAACATTCCGTCACCCGCACGCACAATTATCGTGTTGCATTTATTCGAAATGGAAACACACCGCAAACTTCCGTAAATCTATCACTAACACTAACGCAGATAAGGTCTATGTCTCCATGACCTCTGTTTCACCTGGCTCGTTTAGCTATTTCTGACTAATAATATATATAGGGTTAGGGTTATGGTTAGGGTTAGTCAGAAATAGCTAAACAGGCCAGGTCAAACAGAGGTCAGGGAGACATAGACCCTACGGCAACACTAACCCTAACTGTATCCCTGGGGTTTTTGGGTCGAAGGGTTATTCACTGTAATGGGAGTGTCGAAAGAGTACCGCTATATATGTGTAACATAGTAATACCGCAAACAGAAACATTTATACATTGTATAGCTCTAGTACTATAGCCCGCGTACAGTTGCCGCAGGCCTGCTTTTTTCTGAAATTCGCTAAATCCAAATTTCATTAAAAAACAAAATTAATTAAGAATCAATCATGTACATATTTCATTCAGGTGTGTTTTCATGCTAAGTGCCATTCACCTGAAATATTAGAATGAAAAAACTGTGTTTCATGCAAAGAGACATTACCAAAATAAAAATGTGATGATATCTTCTAATGGATTTAACACCTTTTGGGACCAAACTCAATGTTTGGAGGCTGTTCGTGAAGGAATATACCAACTTTTGATGCAAATGGATATCACACATGATGTAGATATGGATGTAGATATGGATGTAGATATGGTTAGTGTAATTTGATGGTACTAACTCATTTTGACCAAAATAGATTTAACACCTTTGGAAATCAGCTCTTCATATATTGCGTTCATATCTGACCATATCTACATATGAATCAGGGGGCGGATCCAGGGTGGGGTGCAGGGGTGCGCACCCCCCCCCCCTTCTCACGCAAAGTGCCCCTTTTGGCAAAAGTTGCCTTATTAAAAAAAACGGTTTGTTTTGCCGCTCGGCCCGATGAAGCCCTCGTTTTTCTAGAATATATATATTGGTCGGCGCCCAGGAGTCGGCCATACCATGCTCAAATCCAAACGCGAAAATCTAGGTCCAAAACTAACCGCTGCCTTTCTTAAAATGATGTTAGCAATACAGTGGCGGCGCCATGCAGCATGGCGCCACTGTACGGTCGCCTGTTTAGATGCACTGGATGAGTTACATTATATTGCCAAATGCACGCATTTCAATCAGCTACGCCAAAAGCTCACATTAATAACTTATGGACCGAAAACCCATATATATATGTGAAATTAATGAATTTAAAGAGTAAAAAAATGTTGCAGGCTCTTTTAAAATCCT